TGTTTATTTCTTCTTTCTGCTCCAAATGGTTGATTTGAGTCCCAGTTTCCTTCCCTTCACCGTTGGTTCCCTGTACATTTTCCTTTATTTCACTTTTCATAGCCTTCACTTTTTCCTCTACTTTGTGTCATAAGCAACCAACTTTGTGAGCATCCTGATTACCAGTGTTTTGAACTGTGTATATGATAGGTTGGCTATGTCTTCATCAGCTAACTGTATTTCTTCTGGAGCTTTGACCTCTTCTTTCATTTGGTCTATATTTGTTCGTCTCAGTGTGCCTGTTCACATAGTAAGGGGTGGAGTTCAGGTATTTGACAGGGTGGGGCAACTCACCTTGCTGCACTGTGGTGCTGTATGTTGGGGAGTGGTCTGAGAGGGAACAATGCTGCTTGCTTGGCTCTCTGTCTGCTTTCAGTCACCTCCCCCCCCCCCCCCCAGCTAGCCACAAGCAGTTGGGCCCTTCTGCTGCTAATTCCCAGGTGGGTGGTTTTGTGTACCTTCTAGGACCCTGTGGGTCTCTCCAACAAACTGTCCTGTGATGCTGGGAGTTTTTCCTGCTGCCTCAACCCCCACAGTTTTTTTCAGTCAGAGGTTTTGAGGCTTTATTTGCCCGTACTGCAACCCTGGATTCTGTGGTTTGTCTCATTCCCCAGTTGTTTCTTCTGGTTTATCCACATGCAAATTTGGGGCTGCTGGCTCCGCCAGCCACCATCTTGTCTGGTCCTTCAGCAGCTGCTTTGCTTCCAGCCCTCTCTGCCCCAGCTGCCTGTCTCCACCCTTCACATTGGTCTGGATGAATGTTTCTTTTTTAACTCCTTGGTTGTCAGACTACTATACAGTTCAATTTTCTGGCCATTCTGGTTATTTTTTGTTTTTAAATTTGTTGTTTCCTTGTTTTGGTTGTGGATGGAGGAAAAATATATCCCATCTTGGATGGAAGTTTCAGGAAATAGTTTAAACATGACTACTGAGAAAACTAGTAGCTAAATTAATTCTAAGTTGGTTTTGAATTTTGGGAATGTTTCAAATAGGTGAAAACAGGGAGACAGCTGACCTTCATCTGGTTGAACTCTCAGAGCCCAGTCACCCTCCATTTCTGAATTACCTGTTTTATCTCACGTCTTCTTCTGGGAAATCATGGTAAAATAATAACAGTGGATTTCAATATTTAGAGGCAGGGGATGCTGGGTGGGGATCGAGTGGTAAATATCTCATACTTATGCAGGCTGAAATTCCCTGAAGTGTTAGAAGTGCCCAATAAGTCTTGAAACTGTAAAGTGTTAGTGGCTATTTTAAAGATAAAAATTACAAAACAATTTAAATTAGAAAATTTGGATGGCCAAAAAAAAAATACAAATTGTAGACAGTACTGCAATCCAAAGATCTTTTGTCTAAGGATATTTATAAACTTGCAAATGTTTAAGATAATTGTAAAGTCTTTAATTTTTTTTAAATTATAGTCATTTTTTCCATATTCAGAAAGGAGGTAAAGTGATCAGAATATTTTTCAATATCTGTGTAATTTAGGTCATTCTGTCATCATTATCACCAGTAAAGCAGTTAAATTAAAAAAAGAATTTTGGGATGTAAAAGCTAATCCTCATTATTTTATACAGCTAAGCTATTTTGCTTAGATTTTTCTGTACAATTGAAAGATGAAGATTTGGTTAGGAAAGATAAATGTCCAGATCTGAATCTAGAAGTGCAGCTATATTAAATTTGTTTTTATTTTAGAGACTGAGTAAGAAATGATTGCTTAGAAGAGGCTATTATGTTAGAATTGTACCATCCAGAAGACTCAGTACCTATTACAGTGGGGGCAGTTTCTTCCTCACAAACAGCATCCTAATGGAGATGCATGTCTGTGCCATTAGCATTGCTGATGTGGATATTTGCCTCAAGATTTAAGCCTGCGGCTGTGGCAACTGCTATAAATATTCTAAAAATAATAATTTTGTGAGTATTTATATATGATTTCCTCTAAGATGTTTTTATTCCATGTATGCTAGAAAAATGACCGACAATTACATAATTCTGGTAATTGGGAAAAGCTGTTGAAATGTGAGGCTTCTAAAATCAAAAAGAAGAACAAAATAGATGTGATCATTGTTCATGACATATTTGGTTTTAATGTAATATTAGCATTTCATACATTTAAATAGTTTTGGTGTTGTCTCTAAAATGACACCAAATTGATACATTCACGCAACGTATTATATAAAAATGCACTGAGTGCCACAAATTCTCCTGCTGCTATATTTATTAATAGCAACATACACTGCTTAATGTGTGCCTTAATTTGAAAGGCATTTTTATAAATGTTTGCTATTTGCACTTTCTCTTTGAGAAAAACCTTACATCACCATTCAATATGAGGGGCCATCAAAGAAATTAGCTTAGAAGTACTTCTTCATTTCCCAATGGATTTAAACTATTTTAGAAAATTATGGGTAGGATTGCTTATAGATTATTTTAGGTCAGGTTCAGTAGAAGCAATGCTGGGACTGAGATTGTAACAAGTGATTTGTTGAGCAATGCTCTCCAGAGAAGGGTGGCAGGGGAAGCAAGATACAGCAGGGGAGAATGTCTGCGCAAGGAGGAGAACTCAGTAGGAAGGAGCTGCAGTCTGCTCCTACAGTGGAGCTCTGCAGCACAGATGGTATCACAGAGTTGGACCTATCTTGAGGAAAGTGGGGTGGCCTTTTGTATTTCCACATCAGCAAATCAATCATTGGTTGTGGGTATCCCTTGAAAGCATGTAGGAGAGTTGCTTTCTACATGGGGTAGTTTTCAGCTGGCTCATAGCAGTTCTCCACAGAATGAAGGTGCATCTGTGAATTATCAGCATCTTGGTAATGGAAATTCTAGTTAATAAAGGTGATGTGTAATGGTTTCAACAGCATCCATTATATAGATGAATGATAATTCAGAAGAACAAAAAAAATATTGAACTTAGATCCTGTCACTTTGTGCTCCACAGCACACATTTCCACACCCACCCACCTACATTCATAATCAAATAAAGGTGGAAATTCAAGCCATGTTAAAAACCTTTTGCTTATAGAAACAGTTTAAAAACATTAATGAGGACATGGACTGTAGGTCTTAATGCTGTTGTAGCTGGGGGCAAATATCTTAATAGTTAACACAGCAACCAGGACCAGGTTCCAGTCCCAGAGTTCTGAGTAACAGAGAAGCTATGTGGCTAACTGCTATTAAATGCCCTTGTCATAATGAAAATGAGTTCCTTCATAAAGGACCAGAGATATTGTTCTTGAAGACTTGAAGGTGTTTTAAATGCCACATAGACTCAGGAAAGCCTTCTTCTAGGCTTAATACCCCTATTTGAAATGTTTTATTTGCAAAAGCCTTTGACTGTCCATACGTGCCTAACTGATTCAGACAAAATGAGACACTCAAGGTGTTCATCTCAAATTCCTTCTCTGCAACAGATTATGTTATACTGAGGAACTACAGAGTATCCTTCCTGGTAGAATACCTTTAACCTTTTTCATCCCATTATAGAGCTGTTAGAGTTTATCTTCTTTGAAAAAGAATTTCTTTCTTGCTACTTGCCAGAATAATGAAATGCTTTACAGACTAGATGAACTTGTGTGAAGACAGTGGAATTCCCATTAGTTTCACTGATGTAAAGAGGTTTTTATTGTTTTAAGTTGACAAATGTTTTTCAAAGTCATAGAAGACATACAAAATTTTTTGAATTGTACAGTTAACTTTAAAGTAGAAGATCATTGATATAATAGAAGTAAACAATAGCAAGTCTTCATCTTTGATCAAGAAAGTATTTATTGCTAATAATAATCCCTCTGATTGCATCCGACTTGATTATTCCAAGTTATTTAACAGGAGTAATAGTATGCAAATAATCTCAGAATAATGAAGAGACATTAATTCAGTTTAGAGTTCAAGTTGATACTGCAACCTTTTCACCCTGTATAGGGCTTTGCTAATATAGTTGACCCTTGAAACAACAGGAATTTGAACTGCATGGGTCCACTTATATGAAGATATTTTCAATAAATACAGTCAGTTCTTCCAGTCTTCATTTTTGTATTTGTGATTCAACTGCAATGGTATTTTCACATTCCCAGCTATGGCTTCCTAACCATAGGTTTCCAGCAGTGAGATAAAAAATAGTGTATTGACTCTCCAGTTGGTTGTATCTGCCAATGGGAAAAGCTGATTGAAGAGTCCAAAGCTCTACCTGAATTTTTGACTGTGCCATGTAGATGCCCAATGTTATTCAAAAGTCAAGTGTACTTTACATAGGAATGCAGACCAGGTCAGTGGCTAAGAGTGTTCTGAGGTGAAAAAGACATTTTGGAGCATGGTGGATATGTTATTGGTAAGGTGACTAGAAGGGACCCTTTTTACAGATGATTAATGATTTGAAATTTAATTTCATTGGTTATTTTTTCACTACCAATGTCTACTCTTACCTCCCATCCCCCAAAAGTGAGATGTTGAGAAGGTAAAGTAAAAGATAATTTTAAGTTTGCTTTTAAAGTCAAACTTTGAAGTACATTCCTCAGGCCTTAGTTTTCTTTGTGTAATTAAGTTTATTTAATTGTCTACATTTGTATTTTCCTCCAGTCTAGAAATAGAAATTTTGTTGAATAAGCAAAATTCCTATTAATCTGCATTTTAAAAGTTTTATTTTCCAATATTTAAAAATTTTATTTATCAGTTATTATATTTAAAATACAGGTAAGATGGAATAAATACTTTAACAATACTATGTCTCATTGTTAAACTTCAAATTATTCCTGGAACTTATGGCAAGAATAAATAAAGAATTCACAGAACCCATTGTATTAGAATTTAGGAACTTTTCAATAGCAGGCATTTAATTTACCTAATGTGTTTAAAAACTTTAATTTTATGTAATCATTATCACTTGCTAATAGTTTGAGTAGTTTGAGATTCCACAGACTTCATTATTGCTTAACAATATTGTGTAACATTTTTGTTTCTTCCAGAAACTTCCAATTAAGTGAAGAAGATCACTGGATTTACCAATGTGTTTTGGATCAGTATCCTGGAGATCTTTGTGGCAGAAGGACTCTGTATCTTGACATGTTACAAAGATATTTTCCTCACAAATCTAGGCATGCTTTGGTGAGTACTAGCAAGTTAAATTGTTTTCATGGCTCTTATATTAAGTAAAAAATAATTTTTTAATGGTGCTCTAAAATTTAGTTTTTCCTACATTCTAGAAAATATTAAGATTATAGGTTGAAAGTCTGTCATTTTTCAAGTCTGTATGGTCCATAAGAGTGTGGGTAACCCCTCTGGCAACATTTATTCCTCTGTGCTCACTTGCCCCAGCGGTCTTCACTCTGGCTGCTCCGCTAGTGTTTGACCTCCAGGTATGTGTACATGCACCTGCCCGCCATCAGACGTTTTTCATCGCTGCTTCTTGCCTGGAAGTAGGATGCCTGCTCCTTCATCCACAGAGCTGCCACACTCAGTCCTTCTAGTCATGGGGAAACCAACAGTCGCATCGGGGGCTGGTTCTTACCTATACTACCCCCACCACAACCACCCTGCGCGGTCCCTCCAACTGGGTCTGAAACACAAATGCTTCAAATTCAGAGTCACGACTAAAATGTTCCTGAGAAGGGCCTGGAAAATCACTGTTTCATTCTTTAGATGACAAGACAAGAAAACAAAAGTTATCACAGCACCAATTGATTTAATAATAACTCACTTTAAAGTATATATGTAAACAAGCACACATAGACTTTTAAATGGGTCATTCTATAAAAGATTATTGCATAATCTGCATTTTTGTAATTGTTTTAAATTAAGCAAGTGCTAACAATACTAAAATGTATATAGAATTTGCCTTATGTCAGTCATATGTAGACTCCTGTCACGTACATACCAGTAGGTGAGGGAAGTGCCATTGTTACATTCACTTTACAGATAAAAGAAAGACTGAAGCAAAGGCCACACAGCTAGTGTAACCATCATCTAACCTCTCCCCCAGCCTGCCACCCTGTAATTATTTGTTTCAATTCTGACCTATAAACAGAAGATACCTGTTATATAAAAAGCATGTTATATAATAAATAATTCTCTCTAGAATTTTTAAAGTCTTAGTTTATTAAGACTTTCTTTTTAGTTTTAAAGACTTTCTTTTTCTTCCCTGTTGAATCTAGTTGCTTCTGTGACCAGCTGTCATTTTTATCTTTGTAGACGTTTATATTTGCCTGCTATTTACATAATAAGATTTTGCATTTACTTCTTACATTGGGTTGATTAGTATGCATTTCTGCATGATGTATATTTCCTTTCTTAATGTTTGAGAGGTTTTAAGTATATTTTTGTCTTTGGGGAACAAAGCTAAAAAGTTTACAGAACAGATTTTAGTAGCTGATGTTTGGTTTAAGTGAAGCCATAGCCTGTTTCATCATGTACCTCATTAACCAAACTAAATTATTATTTTAGGTAGGACCAACCTTATCCTGCATGCTACTTTCTTTTTTTCATGCCATTTAGAGGTTAAGTAATGTATCAAATTCAGAGACATGGCCTCTAGTAGCAAAATAAAGAATTGTTTAGGTCAGTGACTCTGAATTTCAGAAGACACACCTTTCTATAATGAGCATTTCAAAATCACCTGCAGAGATTTCCTTATCTGTATTCCTCTTCCTCCCCTCAAATCTGAGCTCTCTCCTGGTTGAGATTCATGCCAACAGGAGCTGCTGGTCCTGATGTGAGAATGCCATGTCCCTCAGGGGTGTGGGATGGGAAGGGCTACTGTCATCGCTGTAATTACTTCAAGTTTAGATATCTTAACATCAAAATGTTTCAAAGATCAAGGCAAACTGAGTTGTCAGGGTTATTGTAACAATTTTTTTTGTGTTTATTCACACAAACTGTCAAACTGAAGTTGTTAAAATACCAAAAGTAATTTAAAGATGGAATATTTTTGAAATTATACATAGGGGAAATAACGCTCTGCCTGTAGATTCATTGTCATGTACAAGTAGAAGTTATTTTAGAGCCACCTGGTTTGACTCTGTCCTACACAAGGAATGTGGACTTCAAAACATTAAGCGACTGGTCCTCAGTCACCAGTTAGGCACAGGCTCGGAACTCTGGGACCGGAACCTGGTCCCGGTTGCTGTATTAACTGTTAAGGTATTTGCCCCCAGTTTTTAAAAATTAGTTGTTACACATTTTATTCATTTTTGTAACAATAACATAAGGCATAGGCTCACTTTTGTTATAAGTATAATAAGTGTAATCATAGCTATCTGTTATGTTTTCAGGTTGAACATGAGAAATGTTGTCACCAATACCGCTTCACTAGGGAGCAACGAAGAATCCTGATATCAAACTGGAATAAGAATAGGAGAGATTTTATACAGAAGGCTGTGCTGACACTTGCTGAAGCCTGTGCAACTTATGAAATGGAGAACACATTGGCTAAGGATAGAAAAAAGCAACAGGACCTGTGTGCTGACCTGAAAGCTAAGGTAAGATGCTTTGCAGAAGGCATTTCAGTATTTGCCTGGGTATTCATTTAAGAATCCACGTTTTCCTTTTGTTCAAATCCAGCTTGAGTTCAATTTCTCTAAAAAGCCTATTTTGAATAAAATTGTTAGTTCAAATAATATGAAATTGCACTTTTAGGTTAAAGTAGTCAACAATGAACAGTTTCATTATGGTTCAACCAGAGTTACTACAGCCGGAGGTTAATACTGAAGTCTTGGTTGGGAGATAGCCAACATCAAACCATAAATACTGTACACCACAGTTAGGTGCTAGAGAAAAGTGCAGTGTAATTGTAAAGTACATGTCTGATGTTTTTTCAAAGACTCGTGAGCCTCTCATTCACATTAAAGATGTAATAAAGGTCAAGTAATGAAGAGGAAAGAGGGTATGTTGGAAGGGCTGTGTGTGAGTCCTCAACCAAGGGAAAGGACGAGGAGATGGGGTTTTCTTCCCCCTCAGACCCAGTGAGCGGCCTGCACAGCCACTTGGAGAGTTTAGTGGGTAACCCTTGTTGTTGGAGGCTTGAGGACTGGTGTCTGATGCTCACAGGGAAATATAGAGGAGCTGCCTCTGTGGCAGAACTGAAAACCAGAGTGGCTGCCGTGTTAGGAAAATGAGACAGGCTGCTGTGTTGGGAGTAACTGCATTCCCCAGACTGGTCATGGGTGCCTAAGTCCGGGAAACCCCATATGGGTGTGGCCTCTCTGGGAGTGTTGGCAGGGCCATTAGAAAGACATTGTATCGAGGTATAGCATGCACACAGTAAAGCGCACAAATCTTGATTTATTGATAAATGACATGGTGGAAGAATGATGACACGACAAGAAATTTTATTTTCTTGATAAAAGAAAATAACCTGGCAAATGTTACAGTATACAAATTAATAGCACATAAAAACAAATGTCCCTATTTTAAAACACTAGAGGAAAAATTCCTGCTCTTTGTTTTTTGTTTTTTAACAAAAAGATATTTATTTTGCCATTGCATAAACCTGGGTGGTCCTAAAAGGAACAGAAGCTGCATCAGGTCTGATCTACCACGGCCTACAGAGCCAATGGATGTTTTTTTTTCTCCATCTGTGGCTGATAAAAAAGCACACAGGGGTCAGGGCCAAGACATGTCCTTATACATTTCTCGCCTGTTAATATTCATTTTATACATATTATCATTAGTCCTTGAGCTATGCTGTAAGTGATAATTTTCTTTTTATTGTATTGCATTGAGGTAAACATAAATGCATAAAGTACAGAGAACTTAAACATACTGTTGAATGTTTTACAAGTATATGTTACCCCATGGAAATATCATTGAGATCAAGGTATAGAACCTTTCCTGCAGGTCAGAAAGCTCCTCATGCATCTTTTTGGTACATACTACCCCCCACTCATAACTATTATTCTGAATTCATCATCATAAATTAGTGTTGTTTACTCATGAATTTCATATAAATCAAATCATACAGTGAACACTCTTTTTTATACATTTTAAAATGTTTTTTAAAATATATTTTATTGATTATGCCATTACAGTTGTTCTATTTCCCCCTTTATTCCCCTCCACCCTGCACACCCCTCCCCCACTATTCCCCCCTTTAGTTTATGACCACGTATCTCAAGTTCATTAGATTCTATATTTCCCCTACTATTCTTGCCCTCCCCCTATGTATTTTCTACCTACCATCTATGCTACTTATTTTCTGTACCTTCTCCCCCCTTCTCTTCCTCTCACTCCCCTGTTGCTAACCCTTCATGTGATCTTCATTTCTGTGGTTCTGCTCCTGATCTAGCTGTCCTCTCTTAGTTTGATTTTGTTTTAGGTGTGGTTGTTAATAACTGTGAGTTTGCTGTCCTTTCACTGTTCATCTTTTTTATCTTCTTTTTCTTAGGTAAGTCCCTTTAACATTTCCTATAATAAGGGCTTGGTGATGATGAACTCCTTGAATTTGATCTTATCTGAGAAGCACTTTATCTGCCCTTCGAGTCTAAATGAAAGCTTTGCTGGATAGATCAATCTTGGCTGTAGGTCTTTGGACTTCATGACTTGGAATACTTCTTTCTAGCCCCTTCTTGCCTGTAAGGTCTCTTTTGAGAAATCTACTGACAGTCTGATGGGAAGTCCTTTGTAGGTGACTGTCCCCTTATCTCTTGCTGCTTCTAGGATTCTCTCCTTCATTTTAATCTTGGCTAATATAATGATGATGTGCCTTGGTGTGTTCCTTCTTGTGTCCAACTTCTTTGGGACTCTCTGAGCTTCCTGGATTTCCTAGAAGTCTATTTCCTTTGCCAGATTGGGGAAGTTCTCCTTTATTATTTGTTCAAATTAGTTTTCCACTCGTGACTGTTCCTCTTCCCCTTCTGGTACCCCTATAATTTGGATATTGGAACATTTAAAGATGTCCTGAATGTTCCTAAGCCTCTCCTCCTTTTTTTGAATTCTTGTTTCTTCATCATTTTCTGTTTAGTCATTCTTTTCCTCCTTCAGGTCCACACCTTTGATTTGAGTTCATTTTCTTTCCATTACTATTTGTTTCTTGTGCATTTCCCTTCCTTTCAATTAGTTTAGCCTTCATTTGTTTCTCTAATTTGTGACTAAAATCAAGCAGTTCTGTGAGCATCCTGATCACCAGTGTTTTGAACTGTGCATCTGAAAGTTTGGCTGTTTCTTCGTCACTTAGATTTATTGGCTCTGGGGCTCTGAGTTGTCCTTGAGCCATGTTTTGGTCTGTTCGTGCCTGTTATGTATGAGGAGCAGAGCCTAGGTATTCACCAGGGCGGGGCCATCCAGGTTGCTGGTTTGTGACGCTGTACGTGAGGGCGGGGTCAGAGAGGGACAATAGCTGTTCCCTCTGCTGCTTCCCTCTGCTGGGGCCTGCGTGGTCCGTTTCACTGCTTGCTCCTTTGCAGGTTTATCTGCACTCGAATGTGTGACCCCGGTCAGCCTGCTGCCTTGCGCCCTCAGTGGGTCCGCCTGCTACTCCACACCTGGGATCCGCCCACGGCTGCTGGCGCACCTGGGTCGTGCTCCTGGGTTGGTCTGGTGGATCTTTCCTGCCTGACCCTGCTCTGCTACTGGCTCTGCCCCTCTTACCAGTTTGGCTGAAGGGTTCGTTATTGTCAGACTTCCGTATAGTTCAATTTTCTGTGGTTTGGCTGCATTTTTGTTGCTAAAACTTTGTTGTTTTTAAATTTGGTTGTAGGAGAAGGTACAGTGCTTCCACCTACACCTCCATCTTGGCGGAAGTCTCTTTTTATACTTCTTTTGCTCATCACATCTATAAGTTTCACCTTTGTTGCGTGTTGTAATTATTTGCCTTTTTTTTTTGCTTGATGGTATTTCATTGTATACATATACCACAATCTTTATGTTCTCTTATTAATGAAAATTTGTGCTATTTCTAGGTTTTTGTTATAATAGTGACAGTGTTACATACATTCTCAAACACGTCTTATGGTGGATATATGCACTCATTTCTTTCTTTTTTAATTTAACTTATTTCTTTTTATTCTTCAATTATAGTTTACATTTAATATTCTTTTGTATTAGTTTTAGGTGTGCAGCATAGTGGTTAGGTAACTATATACTTTACAGAGTTTTCCTCCTAATATTTCCAATATCCTCCTGGCACCATACATAGTTATTACAATATTACTGACTATACTCCCTAGTCTGTACTTTACATCCTTGTAAGTATTTTGTAGCTACCAATGTGTACTTCTTAATCTTTTCACCTCTTTTACCTAGTACCCCACTCTCCTCTCTGGCAAGTATCATTCTGTTCTCTGCATCTATGAGTCTGTTTCAGCTTTTTTTGTCTGTTTATTTTGTTCTTTGAACTTCACATATAAGTGAAATATTATGGCATTTGTCCTTCTCTGAATGACTTATTTAACAACATGCTACTTTCTAGGTCCTTCCGTGCTGTCCCAAAAGCTAAGATTTCCTTTTTTTTTTATGGCTGAGTGTAAATGTACCACAGGTTTTTTATCTGCTCATTTATTTATGGGCATTAGGGTTACTTCCATAGCTTGGCTATTGTAAATAATGCTATAATGAACAGAGGGGCACATATATTCTTTCAAATTAGTGTTTTGGATTTCTTCAGATATATACCAAGAAGTGAAATCTCAAGGTCATAAGACATTTCTATTTTTAATTTTTTGAGGACCCTCTATACTGTCTTCCACAGTGACTGCATCAATCTTCATTTCCACCTACAGTGAACAAGGGTTCCCCTTTCTCCACACTCTCACCAGCACTTGTTGTTTGTTGATTTGTTGATGTTAGCCATTCTGACAGGCGTGAGGTCATATCTCACTTTGATTTTAACTTGCATTTCGCTAGTACTTAGTGATATGAGCATTTTTTCATATCTCTGTTAGCCTCTTTGGAGAAGTTTCTGTTCAGATTCTCTGCCCATTTTCAACTTGGATGGTGTGTGGGTTTTTTGGTGTTGAGTTGCATGAGTTTTAAAATAAATTTTGGATATTAACCCCTTATCAGATGTGAGATTGGTAAATGTGTTTTTCATTGAGTGGGTTGTTTTTTATTTTGTTGATGATTTCCTTTGTTGTACAAAAACATTTTAGTTTGAGGTGGTTTCATATTTGGGTTTTTTATTGTTGTTGTTTGTTTCTCTTGACTGAGAAGAAATATGAGAAAAAATTGCTGAGAAAAAAAATTGCTAATAAAAATATCAGATTTTATTAAAAGGTGGACTTCCAGCCAAGATGGAGGCATAGGTAGATACACTTTGCCTCCTTGCACAATCAAATGAAGGATAATAACAATTTAAAAAGAAAAAATAACCAGAATGGCCAGAAAACTGAACTGTATGTAAATCTGACAAACAAGGAGTTAAGAAGAAACATTCATTCAGACTGGTAAAAGGGGAGGATATGGGCAATCAGGGCAGAGAGGAAGTTCAGAAAGGTGGTGGCTAGAGGACCTGGTGGGTGAGGTGATGGCTCATCAACCTGAATGGGCAAGGCAGTGGCTGGGAAACCTACGCTCTCACATTTGTATGAGAATAACCAGAAGAAACAACTGGGGAACCAAAGAGAGTGCACACCCCAGGCTTCCAGTCAGGAGAAATAAAGTTCAAAACCTCTGGCAGTTAAAAAACTGTGGGGGTTGAGGCAGCAGGAGAAACTCTCAGCCTCACAGGAGAGTTTGTTGGAGAGACCCACAGGGCCAAGAATATACACAAACCCACCGACCAGGGAATCAGCACCAGAAGGGCCCAACTTGCTTGTGGGTCATGGAAGTAGTGACTGAAAGCCAGCAGAGAGCCAAGCAAGCAACATTGTTCCCTTTTGGAACCCTCCCCCACTACAGCACCATAGTGCAGCAAAGGGGGTCCCTCCACCCTGGCAAGTACATAAGGCTCATACCCTTACAATGTAACAGCTGTGCTGAGACAAAAAAAATATGGCCCAAATGATAGAATAGGTCAAAGCTCCAAAAAATAGAACTAAGTGATGAAGAGATAGCCAAACTATCAGATACAGAGTTCAAAACACTGGAAATCAGGATGCTCACAGAAATGGTTGAGTATGGTCACAAAATGGAGGAAAAGTAAAGGCTATGCAAAGTGAAATAAAGGAAAATGTACAGGGATCCAAGAGTGAACAGAAGGAAACCAGGACTCAAATCAACAGTTTGAAGCAGAAGGAAGAAATAAACATTCAACCACAATGGAATGAAGAAACAAGAATTCACAAAAAAATGAGGAGAGGCCAGAGTATAGGAACCTTCAGGACAACTTTCAGTATTCCAACATCTGAATCATAGGGGTGACAGAAAAAGAAGAGGAAAGAACAAGAAATTGAAAACTTATTTGAAAAAAATAATGAAGGTGAACTTCCCCAAACTGGCAAAGGAAATAGAGTCCCACAAAGTGCAAAAAATCCAGGAAGCTCAGAGAGTCTCAAAGAAGTTGGACCCAAGGAAGCAGACACCCAGATACATCATAATTACATTACCCAAGATTAAAGATAAGGAGAAAATCTTCAAAGCAGCAAGAGAAAGGAGACAGTTACCTACAAAGGCGTTCCTCCATGACAATCAGCTGATTTCTCCAAAGAAATATTGCAGGCAAGAAGGGCTGGAAAGAACAGTCATGATAGGCAAGGAAGGACCTACATCCAAGATTACTCTATCCAGCAAAGCTATCATTTAGAATGGAAGGGCAGATAAAATGCTTCCCAGATAAGGTCAAGTTAAAGGAGTTCGTCATCACCAAGCCCTTATTATATGAAATGTTAAAGGGACTTATCTAAGAAAAAGAAGACCAAACAATATGAACAGTAAAATAACAAACTCACAACTATCAACAACCAAACTTAAAACACAGAAACAAAAACAAACTAAGCAAACAACTATAACTGGAACAGAATCACAAAAATGGAGATGACATGGAGGGTTATCAGCAGGGAGGGGATGGGGGAAATGGGGGGAAAAGTACAGGGAATAAGAAGTATAAATGTTAGGTACAAGGGAGTTTAAGAATAGTATGGGAAATGGAGAAGCCAAAAACCTCATATGCTTGACCAATGGATGTGAACTGAAGTGGGGGAATAATGATGGGAGGGCAGGTGCAGGACAGTGGGGAATAAAGGAGGGTGAAATGGGACAACTGTAATAGCATAATCAATAAATATACTTTTTAAAAACTGGAAAAGGTGTCAGATTTTACTGCCTATGTTTTCTTCTATGACTTTTATGGTATCAATTTCTTAAAAGATTTCATTTATTTTTAGAGAGACAGGAATGGAAGGAAGGAGAGGGAGAAAAACATCAATGGGTGGTTGCCTCTCCCTCACCCTCTTCTGGGGCCGTGGTCTACAATACAGTTAGTCACTCTTGACTGAGAATCAAAATGCTGACCCTTTTTCCACAGGCCAGCACTCAATCCACTGAGCTACACCAGCCAGGGCTATAGTATCGATTTTTACGTTAGAGTCTTTATCCTGAGTCTGTTCTTGTATATGGTGTCAGAAAGTGTTCTAGTTTCTTTCTTTTTTTGAATGTATCACTCCAACTTTCCCAACACTGTTTATTGAATAGACTACTATCTTTATCCCATTGTGCATTTTTGACTTCTGTGTCAAATATTAACTGACCATATGGATGTGGGTTTACTTTGGGCTCTCTATTCTGTTTCACTGATCTATATGTCTGTTTTTATGTCAGTACCATGCTGTTTCAATTACTATGGCCATGTAGTGTAGTTTGGTATCAGGTAGTATGATAATTCCAACTTATCTCTTCTTTCTCAATATTGCTGAGGTTATTCTAGGTCTTTTGTGGTTCTATATAAATCTTTGGATTTATCTGTTCTAGTTCATGAAATATGCCATTGGTATCTTGATAGGAATTATGTTGAACCTGTAAATTGTTTTGGGGAGTATAAACATTTTAATTATGTTAATCCTGCCTGTCCATAAGAATGGTATATGCTTCCATTTATTTGTATTTTCTTTTTTCAGTATCTTATAATTTTCTGACTACAGGTCTTTTACCTTTTTAGTTAAATTTATCCCATAGTATTTTTTGATGCAGTTGTAAATAGAATTGTTTTTTCTTTTTAGTTTGCCTTTCTGACAATTCATTATTGATATATAAAAATGCAACCACTTTCTCTTTCTTTTATCATTGTTCAAGTACAGTTGTCTCCATTTTTACCTCACCAGTGTAATCATACGGTATGCAACTTTTTGAGTCTGGCTTTTTTTATTAAGCATAATGCATTTGAGATCAAGCCATGTTATAACATGTATTAATAGTTTTTTTTAATCCTGAGTAGTATTCTATGATATGGTTTATTATCAGTTATCCATTCACCAGCTATTTCCAGTTTTTGGCAACTTGTATCACAGTATTTCGTTCATGGTAGGGCTAGGCCTTAGGCTTTCCCTGGGCCTCAGGGGGCAACTTGCCATTCTTATTCATTTCCCTGCAGAAGATTCTCACTAGACACTTGCCAGTCTGGTAGAGAAAGAAGCATTCTGCTTTCCTGGTCAGCCTCACTCTCAGTCAGGCTGGACCTATGTCCCTGGGCCTTGGGGCTAGAACCTACTCAGTGACCTGTCCTCTTTAAGGCAGACAAACCCTGGCTTGTGTCTGGGTGGTAACTGTGTGGGAGAGAGCTTCCTGCCCCTTTTCCAGGAGAGGAGAATTTTAGCTGCAGTCTTCTCTACTGCTATAGTGGCCTTGTGTTTTTCAGGTGTTCTTCCTTGGGTAAGCCAGTTCTCACGTTGCTTCTCTTCTTGGAGCCATCTTTTTTTCTTTAACTCTCTTGTTATTTTGTTGCCCTGTGCCCTCTGCTGTCTAATGGGTTCAAAAAACATTCCAACGTTCTAGGTTATTTCACTTTTTCTTACAGTTAATGTTGGAGCAACATTTTTCTGCTGGAATGTGCTAATGATAGTGAGCCTATCAATCTTTTATGTGCCCTATTTAAGAAATCGTTGGCTAGTGTATGGGGCTAATTTTCAAAGGCATCCTGCTTGACATTATTGTGTCCATCAGGGTTCCTGCCAGAGTTGAGGAGAACCCCAAACAGTGCAGTGGAACCACAATAAATGGGAACCTGACAGGTGAAGGAGAAGGAGTCTAACAGAAGAAAATGTGTACGACCCCCATCAGGGGAATTTTTCCACAAACAGTTCAGCTCACCATCATGGCAACAAAACTGGCAGGAGGGCAAGAGTCAGCATTTACCACCTGCCAGGTTTGCTTGGGACAGTGTCAGTGACCAGTGTGATGAGAAGTCTGTTGTCCTTTCCTTGACCTCTCCTCCCCCTTTACCTTCCGTCTGTGGACTGATTATCTAAAATATAAGAAATGAAAGGAGATGTATCTTCTAAATAAAGAGTGAAGAGTTGATTAATTTTGGAACTGGACAATTTAATTTTGAATCAAGAATATTTTTGTGAGCCTGAAAAGATGGCAGTGAGGTAGGAAAGAGCAGATCTCCCTAGCCGATCTACGGAGCAGCAGAGCAAACACCCAACAGTACCCCAGCATATATGAAAATAAGAGACCAAAAATTGTAGTAGACACTGAAAAACCAGACCATAAGGAGAATGCTTCAGGACAATAAGGTCCCAGGGACCAGCACAGGGACCAGTGCAGCTATAGCCCCAGCAGATGGGCGCCCATCAGGGGGGAGGGACCTGGGCAGGGGAGGGCAGTCCCAGCCAAGCAAAGGCAGCACCAGGAGAGACTTGGTTGCTTGAAGTTGCAGAGAGGGGAATAAGGACTAAGTGGCAAACACACAGAGGCTGTGAACACCCACAGAGTCTGTGGATGCTGGTTGGGGAGAGTTGAGAGTTGCACGATGGTGGGCCCTGACCCAGATAGTCCCTGGTCTGGCTGGAGAATTGGGCTGTGTGTACAGAGGCCAGGCCACAGTATGGAGTGGCAGGCTTGAGTAGGAGGAATTTCTCAAACAGAAAAAGTGAAAAGAGAGACACTGTTTGGGAAATTCTCCTGCTACAGCCTCTCTGGCTACTGCCCCACCCAGCTGGGCAGTGATCCCAAGGTTGCACAGAAGGCCCTGTGCACCCCCATAGCACTGGGAAGGGTGTGCGCCCAAACCTGTGGGACCAAGGCAGTCTGGCCCAGTGCACATGCGCCTGTGACTGAGCCCACAGCAATAACCTCAGGGAAAGAGCACTCTGTGGAAGACCTGGATCCCACACATGAGGCACCAGGGAGAGGCACCAGGCTAGCCCTGGGGAGTGTGCAAGAAGCTGACTGAGTGCAGATCTGGA